CGTTGCTTCTGGTGCCGGGCTGGCTATGCATGCTGCCTGGAAAGCCCTCGGCTGCTACGTCGGCGATGGCTCAGCCATCACTCCTGCCACCACCATTGGCAGCCACCGCCTTTCCCCTGGCACGAGGTATAAAGTGGTACATAGTCGTGCGAGGAGCCAGCCCTGCCTTGGAAGGGCCAGAGGAACCGGAGCTGGATGATGCCATGCCCTCCTGCCAGTGCACGGCAGGGGCACCTTCTCCTACAATGGTGCGGTTATCCCTGCCTGGGTGATCGCTCTGTGACGGATCACTTCTGACATGTTGAGCAAAGCTTTGACGGCGTCGCCCGTGGTGTTCAGGGCCTTCTCGGTAGCCTGCACAGGACATGGTATACACTTCCGGTTCATAACAACCGTGCACGGTCCATGCAATGGAGGTTGGGCCTCGTGAGCTTTGCTCCTCATCTCCAGGGCTCGGACCATTGCGCCACCACGGGTCCTGGCTCTCTGGCGACCTCCACCGGGCGGGTGGAAGGTGCCATCGGCATCCAAGAAGCCCTTGACCGTCACGTAGCCCGGCTTGATGTCGCCCTGCCGACAGAACTTCCAACCAACACTTCGGAATTGCACGGTCGCTCCAACCTCGTCCGCCGGGACCACTCGGACAGAGGCCGGCTTCTTCGGCGGCACCGGCACGTTGCCCTGCCGACAGAGCCTACAGAAAAAACTGGGGAATTGCATGGTCACTCCAGCCTCGTGCACCGGGATCGGAGGCCTGCCATGAAATAGGCATGTTCCTCCTGCTTCTGTGTGCTCGTGTCTGTCGGCCCCCACCTCTGCAGCTGGCTTCCTTGGCACCAGGCTGAGTCCAGACCTTGCCTCAGGTTGCAGTCACAGAAACACAATGTCGGTGAGCCAATCGGCCCGGCACCTTCGGAGCCGGCACCAGCTTGCCTTCAGCCTTTGCCTCGTGTTGCAATCACAGAGAGACAATGCCAGCGAGCCAATGGGCCCGATTCGGGCCCGGCCCTGCTTCGGCATCGGCTTCGGCTTGGGTGGCGCATACTCCTGGGCCTGCCATGGTCCAGGAACAGCGACAACAATTTCCAAAGTGTGGGCCGCAGCTGAGCCGATCGCGGGCTGGTGGTGATCTGCATGCTCGCTGTCCTGAGGGGACTAAGCAGGGCAACAGACACCAAGTTGCAGGCAACAATGGAACCGAGGAGGCCACCTCCGCCCATTCATCCTGCTCAGGTTCCTGCGACCAGGACGGTGCTCCCTTAAGGGCAAACCACACAAAGGACCTTTCGGCCTCCATGAACTCGCCCTCCTCCGGAAAAGGCTCCTGCACATGAACCAATTCGCTATCCTATATAAACCCCAAACTTCAATCCTAAACCCTATCTAAGCCCAAAACCCCAAACCCTATATACGGGCTTGAAACCATATATTATATAATAAATAAACCCCAAATACCCAACCCCCAAACCCATATATAACTATATAAACCCAAATACGCAACCCCCAAACCCTAAACTATATAAACCGCAAACACCCAACCCCCAAACCCTAAACTATGACCTATAAACCCCCTATATATTAGACACTTAAGCCCCAAAACCCCGAACCCTCAGCAATCCTCTTCGGCCACGACTTCCTCGAAGGCTTCCTTGAAGGAACAGAACGGCAAGCAACCAAAGAACCTACTTATAAGGATAGGCCTCCTCCGGTTCCTCGACCGGAGACTCCGGTGGCTCCTGCAACAACAGTCGCTCGAGAAAAACCGAAGTACAATGAACAATTCACGGGGTCCTCCACGACCGGCTGGGGCTGGGATGTCTTTCGCACCTGAAAAAGGAGAAGACAGCTGCACCACTGCAAACAATAAAGCATCACAGTTCACAGCCTTTGCTGGTGGCTCCTCTGGTTCGGCCTCGGAACAGGCCGATGTGAAGGAAATGCCCATCATGGTTCTATGCGCCCAGCCGGCTCCTCCCAGAATTGCTGGTCGCCGCCCTCGTAGAGGTTGATCTCCTGCAACAAAATTCAAGAAAACACTCGGGTTCAAGATGGCAGGCTCAGGTCTCGGCCTCGTCAGCCAAGAGCTTGAGATCGGAGTCCACGTAGTCATTCTGCTCGAATGACCAGAACTTCCATCCTGTGTCGGGGCGGGGCTGGTCAGAAGCTTTAGAAAGCTTATACCTCCCTTTGTATGCCTCCACGAGGCGGCTGCATCGACTTCACATCTGAAGTCAACACAGCCTGACCAAAGTCGTCAGAGTCCACCACCCATGCCCCGGCTCGCGACCAGCGAAGCCGCACTCCGTGGAAGTTCGTGAACCTGCAGGAGGCTATAACAACATGCAGGCGAATCCTGGAGAGCCGGTCGCGAGCCTTCCTTTGTGCTTCTTGTCCCTCTCGAAGGGCTTGGCCAGCAGCAGCTTGCTGTAGAGCCCGTCCTCCTGTTGAAAGGGTCAAGCTTATATATCTATATATCAGCATGCACCCTCCATCCCTTCATCTGGCCTCATCGGACTTGAAAGCACGAAAGCCGAAGAGCAAAACGCCCGGCATTGCAAAAATCTCTACCTCTCGACCCTCAACCCCTGCTTGGCTAGGTGCCTGATATGAAGTGCTCATGCTGGCTAAGTGCCTGACATGAAGTGCGAGATGAAGTGCATGCTCATGCATGGCTAAGTGCCTGACATGCATGAAGTGCCACATGAAGTGCATGCTCATGCATGATATATATATATATATATATATCTGGCATGCACATGCCATGCATGGGGCATGCTGTCATGCGAGGCCTGCCGAGCCTTTCACCGTGCACATGCGTGTCATGCCGACAACAAGCACAGGCAGCACACACACACACAGCCACAAAAGCACTTCAACTGGCATCGCTTCTCAGGGTGTCTCTGTCTCTCTCTGTCTCTCTCTTTCTCTCTCTTTCTCTCTCTCTCTCTCTCTCTCTCTCTCTCTCTCTCTCTCTCTCTCTCTCTCTCTCTCTCTCTCTCTCTCTCTCTCTCTCTCTCTCTCTCTCTCTCTCTCTCTCTCTCTCTCTCTCTCTCCCTCCCTCTCTCTCCCTCTCCCGCCCTATATATATATATATACACATATACATATGTATTTCTCTCTCTCTCTCTCCCTCCCTCCCTCCCTCCCTCCCTCTCCTTCTCTAAACCCTTCTCTCTCCCTCTGTCTCTCGCTCTCCCTCTCCAAAATTTTGTCTTTGTCGCCGTGGAAACTGAAGCTGGACATACATCTTCACAGATCGTGCTGTGCTGCAAAACTCGCCCCTGGTGGGAATCCTCTTGGTAAGGATGCCGGCATGTGCACTCGATCACTCATCATCAGAAGCTTCCTCAGATTCGTCTGAAGCAGCAGCCCGCAGCCCTCTTGACACCCTTGTTCTTGGAACCCTTGCTCTTGTGCTTCCTCTCTTTGACACGAGAGGACTGCACGTTGTCAAAGAACCATTGCAGGTTCTCGCATGTGCCTTCCAACCAGAGCACCTGGGAACCCAGGCCTCGCAAAAGCATGCGAAGCTTGTACTCCCTGCAGCTCACCTCCACCGTCTCGGGAAGGAGGATCATGCTTTTGCTCGTTGCACGTTGAAGCTTGGCTTTCTTCTTGGGGGGACCTCCCTCGTGCTCGACAGTCTTTGCTTTCGTGAGAAGATCATTCGCGGCTTCCTGGCGAGCCTTCACCAGATCCTGCCACAGGTCGCAGTCCAGACTGCCGCTGGAGGAACGTTTCTCCTTGGCAAGATAGAGCTTCTTGCCTGTCATCAGGTAGACAAGATCCGAGTCCCATTTGAAAAATTTGATGTATACCTTGCCGTCCACGGTTACCTCTTCGGTCGGGACCCATGCCTGCTCGCCCTTCAACACCCGCAACTGCCGATGCACACTGAAGGCCATGGCAACCTATCGTCGAAGCCTATATATGCGAGCTGATGCTGTTGGACAAAAGCTGACATGCAACACACCCTCAGGCTTGCATGCTCAATTGATGTGCCTGGGGCATGCGAGCTCATGAGCCCTGCAACTGCCCATATGTCATGCACATCACACTTGGATCCTTTCTTTCCTGCACAGCACACATCGCTCATGGAAGTCGCCATGTATATAAACTCTGGCACGACATGCCAAAGGCCAATATGAAGCACACTTCACATATATGGAAGCCGTCTAGATGGCGAAATCTCGACACACAAAATGCGAAAGCCTTTCAGAGCACACTTGGCGCAAGTCACCTCCATCCTTGTTTATAAAGTTTGTACACAATGAAGTGAATCTCCTTGGCCGTCGTCTGGATTGCCCGGAAAAGCGCCATCATCGGCTTTGGGAATGTGGTTGGAGCTGCAGATGCAAAAGCTTCGGGTGTCGGCACTCTTTCCGATCGAGGAGATCATGCCCGAGTGCACGGCAAGCTGCCCTCAACCATGATATAGTTCACCTTGAGGGCAAGGACAAGCTTCTTGGCGAAGCTTTCACTCGGACTCGAATGGGCTTCACATCCAACCGGAGCTTGCTTTGGACCGTTTCTTGATCCAAGCCCCACATCTGATTCATCTCAAGCATGAGACCCGCCATAAGGACCGAGGCTACTTACTCAGGGTTGCTAGCATGGCTCTATATATAGCTGCCTTATGAGCAAACTTGCAGAGCGACAAAGAAGCTGCATCATATGCCATGAGCCATGCATGCATGAAGCACTGCAGAGGCTATTGCGAGCTGCTATAGCCCTGCAAATGCCTGCAAACTGCAACCTCATGCATGATATGCCTGCAGCAATGTGCTCAATCTCTTTTGGCATATGCATGACCGTCCAGGCATGCCGATTGAAACCGATGCATTGCCGCCCATTGAAACCGGCAATTTCAATCTTCGCTCATACACGATGCTTGCTTGAGCAGCATGCAACAAAGTCGCACCAACATATTCTCATGCATACCATATATACATGGCTATATCATAGTTTCAGAAGCTGCATGCTGCAAACTCGCGATCCCTTCAGCCCATCTTCAGCCGGCGACGTTTCGCAGCAAGAGGGGATGCCTCTTCAAGGTCTTCCGCGGCCGCTTTCGAAACAGGCTTGTAGATCAAGAGGGAGTCGCCGATGCTGATGGCTGCCTTGTTGCGCAACAACGGCCATTTTGCGAGAGGAGCCTTGTGCATGAACTCCTCCAAACTGGCCTGCTCTTCGTCCGGAGTCGTGGGCACTGCGACATACGGGGCGAGGAATCCGTGCCCGCCTTCTTCTTTCGGCAATTGATTGCTGGACACTGCAAAGAAGAGCCTGCCGTCTTTTTTTCATGTTGTCTGCAGAGGTGTCCCCGAAGGCATCCCCGAAGTGTCGTCAGGGTTTTTGAAGATAATCTTGGATGTCACCGGCACGAGAACGAGCTTCCTTTTCGGAAATGCTGCAGTTGCCGTGAGTGCCTTTGAAGGCTTCAGCTGCAAGCTCAACTTGCCTTGCAAACTGCTCGATCCAAACGTCTTCCACAGCCCCTGAAGCTCCTGCAACAATGCACCGACAAACACGTGGGCCTGCCAATCCAAACTCTCATCGGGGTTGAAGAGGGTAAGGTCTGCGATCACGGAGGGCTGCGGCTTGGCAACGACCTTTGTCCACTCTTTGCTCATGAAGGATTCGAGGCTTGCTTTCACTATGACCCCAGTGGACTGGTTCTCCACTCGCACATAAGTCTTCTTCACACCACGGATGATGTACTCGTCTTTGTCATTCTTTCGCTTGATCGTGCAGCCCACCTCAAAGCCTGCCTCTCGCATAACCTCGTCAGGGTTACCATAGGTTCCATCGTCAAGCAACTCTCGCATGGCAACCGTGCTCGGCTGTGCTGTGGTCGCATCGCCGGATCCCGAAGGCGTCTCTTCGGCCTTGTCGGCCCACGGGTTCTCGAGTGCCTGGGTGCTGATTTTGCTGAGCAAAACCATACAGTCGTGAGCTATGCCGTGCAGGCTTTTGTAGCGCTTTTCCTGCGGCTGCACGACCCCCAAAATCTTTGCGGCAATGTTCACTTCCGTCATGCCGAGAATGTGCAGGGCATCGGGGCTGTTGAGCGGGTCAAGGCCGGCAGAGTTCATTTTCTCACGGATCTGTGAGAGCAACGAATCCGCCGTCTTCGCCTGGTCCAAACCCTCCTTCGACCACACTTTCCGAAGATCGCTTGCAAACACATCGTGGGATCGCTTGCAAACACATCGTGGGCTCCGCTCAGGGCGAACTTTAGCAGACCATGACGGACAAACGGTTTAGCGATTGATCCTCGCGGTTCATGCGACAGTTGTTCCCAAAATGCAGGACCCATACTCTTGCTCTGGCCCCTCGCTCTCAAGAATCGCTCTGACTCCAACAGTAAGTGTCCGCCGCGACCCCCACAGAACCTCAGCGAAACCATCAACACCACAAACAGGAATGCATGTAAACAACAAGATGGCATGAAATCTATATATGCAGTCAGAGAGCTTGACTGCGAATGAGAAAATGCCCGGTAAGCAGGCCGAGCAAGGTGGCTTGGAAGCCAAGGCTTGCTTTTTGATGCTGGAGAAGTCAACTTTCTCCACGGCCGAGACGAGTCGATGAACCCGATGCAAGAGCTGCATTTCGGACTCCTGCTTTTGAAGCGTAGCATTCATGGCCGATTGGACGAGGCCCAGGAACTGCGGCCATCTTGTGGCGACTTCCCTCGATATGACATCCCAGACCAGCCCCTCACGGGCTGCATTGGCAAGCTCAGGGTCTCGCCGGGCCACTTTCTCTAATGAAAGCCGTCCATCCACCGAAGCCGCCGAAGTAGAAAGAGCTGCCCCCTGTGACAACAATCGCAACATGAAATTTGTATGCGACCCAGCCAATGACACAACCTTCAGCATGTCACCGTCCAGCTCGCCCAGCTGGCCGCCGGAGCCTCGGACGAGGTCCTCGTTGAAGCGACGGACGGATGCATCCGTTATCTCCACAGCCAGGGCTGTGATGCGGTCGCGAACAAATCCGACAGACAGCACATTCTCTAGCAACTCCAAGCAGTCGCCTGCGATAATCCCGGCACCATCGCGGTTTTTCGGGTGTACGCCCACGTGCATGGGGCTGAGCCTCATGCTCGTGACCAAGTTGTTCTGCTTGAGAAGTTGGAGCAAGTCTTGCACTGTCCGGACCAACCGATCTCCTTCAGCGGCTTGGTCCAGCATGCTGTCCACCTGGGCGATGAGATCGGGCGAAAGCACCGACATCACGGCCAACCTCGACTTTGCGAGACCTGCAAGTCTTGAGCACTCGACTTTGCGAGATATGCGAGGCATCCATGGTGCATGATCTGCATTATATTTCCCATGCCCTGCTTCGGCAACGAGGCCAGCGAGCAAAGGAAATATGTTGACATGAGCAGCAATGTCGAACCATGTGAATGCAAAATAAAGTTGCTATCCTAACTTGCCTGACTTGTGATAAGTCCACTAAGTTCAATTACAGATATACGGCTAATTGCCCCATCATACTTACTATCTTCTGGTCGAAAATTGTTATGTGCTGTAAATACTTGGGCAACATCATAAGAAC